GGGCTACACGGCAAGGAGTACAACGTTATATCATGTAGCCTTATAGGGACAGGGCTACACGGCAAGGAGTACAACGTTATATCATGTAGCCTGATAGGGACAGGGCTACACGGCAAGGCGTACAACGTTATATCATGTAGCCTGATAGGGACAGGGCTACACGGCAAGGCGTACAACGTTATATCATGTAGCCTGATAGGGACAGGGCAACACGGCAAGGCGTACAACGTTATATCATGTAGCCTGATAGGGACAGGGCAACACGGCAAGGCGTACAACGTTATATCATATAGCCTGATAGGGACAGGGCTACACGGCAAGGCGTACAACGTTATATCATGTAGCCTGATAGGGACAGGGCAACACGGCAAGGCGTACAACGTTATATCATGTAGCCTGATAGGGACAGGGCAACACGGCAAGGCGTACAACGTTATATCATGTAGCCTGATAGGAACAGGGCGACACGGCAAGGAGTACAACGTTATATTATGTAGCCTGATAGGAACAGGGCGACACGGCAAGGAGTACAACGTTATATCATATAGCCTGATAGGGACAGGGCGACACGGCAAGGCGTACAACGTTATATCAGGTAGCCTGATAGGAACAGGGCGACACGGCAAGGAGTACAACGTTATATCACATGCCCTGATAAGTCCTTTGCGACACGGCAAGGCGTACAACGTTATATCGTTTGCCCTGATAGGAGCAAGGCGACACGGCAAGATATGCAACGCCGTCAGAATTTACACACATTTCCATAAACGAAAACCTGGACCACCCCCCTCTAAACCCTTTTCCTTGATCTGCAACTGCAGTTGGTCTCGAGTCCACAACTAAGGCAATATTACATTTGGTACAGCAATGAAACACATGTTATTAAACTAAAACAATTTTCATAATTGGCTTAATAATTTTAACTGCAACTACACGCTACCCAAGTGCGTCAGTCCTCCTCTGGTGTCTGTGCCTATATGTTCCTCTGAGATACAAGTTGCCTTGGCTGTGTATCAGTATTGGCATGGGAACGTCTCTCAACAGATACAAATAGGCAGAGAGATATGTTAGTAAATGATTAATGGCAATACAATATATCCATGATTTGGTCGCTATCCTTTTCGTTTGTAAACATTTGGTTTAGGAGGGGATAGTGTTCAGGTTGCTAAAGCGACGAACGGACGCCCTTACATTACCACCAACAACGTAGGACCCAAATCTCTAAGCAAACACAGTGTAACCCATGACAAATTATCAAGGATATGCAGCATTTTATGGTCATACATGCAGAAATATGTGATGCAGATTGTTCTTGTTTTGTTTATTGGTAAACGCCGCACACAGCAATATTACAATTATATGACGGTGGCCTTTAAATAATCGAGTCTGGACCAGATCATCCCGTGATTGCCGTGATGAGCAGTGATCTACGCAACTGGGCTACGATGATATGCAACAACCTAGTCAGCGAGCCTGACCACCCGATCCGTTTTGTCGCCTCTTATGACAAGCATTGTTACCTTTTACGGCCAGCATGAGTTGCTGAAGACCTATTCTAACCGGATCCTGAGAAGCAAGCCACTTCTTGATGTAATGTAAACTGATATCAAATTTTGCCTCTCTCTTGACATATGATATAGCTTATTTGGTCCAGAAAGGACTGCTGGGTGTTTAGGGTTATGGTAGATATTAGAGAGGTATGTTTCCCAACCGTGTGCTGGCATGGTAACGCTTGAACTGAACCCAGTGCTTACTTACCTACTTAAATTAGGAATTTAACTTCAGCTTTCCGACATATGCGTATTTCGCGAACTGGCCCGCCAGGCCATTTAGTGTTTGGTAGAAAAGGGTATGTCAGAAAAGGTGAGGCAACCTAGGTGGGGCTTTCTAGTGTTGATTACTAAATTTTGAGAACAAATTTGGAATTTTGAAATATGCCATTCAAAAGGTGGAGAGGGTTGGAGGTAATCTTTTTCGGTCGTTTCCTGTGACGTTATCGTGCATCACCGGTGAGGTGATGTGGTTCTGTCCTGCGCGTGAAGTATTCACTGCAACATTCAGTGCGTGACGTATTCACTGCAACATTCAGTGCGTGACGTATTCACTGCAACATTCAGTGCGTGACGTATTCACTGCAACATTCAGTGCGTGACGTATTCACTGCAACATTCAGTGCGTGAAGAATTCTTTGCAACATTCAGTGCGTGACGTTTTCACTGCAACATTCAGTGCGTGACGTATCCACTGCAACATTCAGTGCGTGAAGTATTCACTGCAACATTCAGTGCGTGACGTATCCACTGCAACATTCAGTGCGTGAAGTATTCACTGCAACATTCAGTGCGTGAAGTATTCACTGCAACATTCAGTGCGTGACGTATCCACTGCAACATTCAGTGCGTGAAGTATTCACTGCAACATTCAGTGCGTGAAGTATTCACTGCAACATTCAGTGCGTGACGTATCCACTGCAACATTCAGTGCGTGAAGTATTCACTGCAACATTCAGTGCGTGAAGTATTCACTGCAACATTCAGTGCGTGAAGTATTCACTGCAACATTCAGAGCGTGAAGTAGTCACTGCAACATTCAGTGCGTGACGTAGTCACTGCAACATTCAGTGCGTGAGGTTAGAAGGGAATGACAAGGAAATACATGTAAATAGTGAAACTCGTCCCTGATTAATTGGGAGTCACACAATGTACATATCCTTTGTTCTCGTGGTATAGTTTCCCATCGGCTTGTTTCTAGTTGAGGCTTTTTGTGCATATATACATTAATAACCAGTTGGCATTCAACATCCATTACATTTTATGTGTGCACAGCCTGGCCTTAACTCTACAATAAAAGCGTCAATTTTTTTTAAGTTGACATCCTTTTGAAAGGGTAGTTCTTTCTGAAGCCAGGTTAGACTTGTACTGAATATTGTTACTTGTAACACCACCGACGCCTGTTTTTTTGTAGATGTCATGGCAATTGGACATATAATATTTTACCCTGTGTAACAACCACTGACGAGTGTAAGTTATTTTAATATGTCTCTTCTATCACTATGACTTAGCGCATTAGGTTTTATAGAGTTTCAATAACCTTACTCCATTACTGATCGTGATTTATCAAATCATAAACGCACACGTACACTTCTGAAATGATCTACTCGGACAAGCTGTGCAGGGCGATTACAAATAAGTCAAACATTCAATGTTCTTCCGGTTGTTTGTGACAAATAGCCAGTTGACATTCCGAGTGCATCTGATTTCAGAGTTTGTACTTTCTCCTTCCCTGACATTGTATTGACTGCTTTGTCAACAACCCTTCTCTCTCCCCACTACCGACACGTGTGCCCCCCCCCCCCCCTGTCGTACAACACCCCCTGCCCTGACCCCATCTGACCCCCCCCCCCCCCCCCTCACACACACACACACACACAAACACTCACACTACCCACACATGTGCCCCCGTCGTACAACCTCGTGTGGCGAACTTGCTGTCAACAGTCAACTGTCCACATTAGGTCATGCAATCTTTAATGATCATATTTTATTTATTGTCAGCAGCCTATATTGAGACATCTTATCTGTAATGAGCACATGCTATATTATTGTCAACTGCCTATATTGAGACATCTTATCTGTAATGAGCACATGCTATATTATTGTCAACTGCCTATATTGAGACATCTTATCTGTAATGAGCACATGCTATATTATTGTCAACTGCCTATATTGAGACATCTTATCTGTAATGAGCACATGCTATATTATTGTCAACTGCCTATATTGAGACATCTCATCTGTAATGAGCACATGCTATATTATTGTCAACTGCCTATATTGAGACATCTTATCTGTAAAGAGCACATGCTATATTATTGTCAACTGCCTATATTGAGACATCTCATCTGTAATGAGCACATGCTATATTATTGTCAACTGTCTACATTAAGACGTGCGATCTATAATGACCCTATGTTCTATTAATGTCAACTGTCTACCGATTTCAACATTTAATTTTAACACAAAGGTGGCAAAGATTTAGCACACCTTGGCGTCCATTTGGTTCGATATCTGGTTAGTTTGTTCTAACATGATATATGACAGTGAAACAGACCATATCCCTTGCTACAGGACGCTGGAGGTTTTTAATCCATTCTTGTTCCCAAACTTCTTCTACTCCAATACTACTCTACTGGCAATACTCCAGCTCTATGACGGCGGTCTGTAAATAATCGATTCTGGACCAGACAATCCAGTGAATATATGAACAGTATGTACATGCTCACTCTGTTATTACCAACATAATTCACAGAATACAATATGTTTCTATATAAATTGTCACTGCAAAAGAATAACCAGTCTTCATTATTCACGGAAACACTCTTACTGGCGTAAAGGGCATCAATCAGTGATGACACCATGTGTTCACGACAACACTAAGCACGTGCTGCCCTACCGGTATCACTCACCAACATTATTTGCATAAATGCCTGACACCGCACATCAGTACTCCTGGCATGTGATGGCAGCATGTAAACAAACCAGACAATCAAGTGATCGATGAACAAGAAAATCCAGTGACAGGATAGTGCATTTACTGTTTTTGTTGAAACTGATAAAAACGATACGTTAATTTTGAATTACTTCGGGGCCCTTTACATGTACAGACGTATCAGGTAAAGAAAGAAAGCAACGGTTTCTGCTACAAAATGCCATTCTGACTTTGATAGAGAGGGGCCATAGCCATCGTCACGCCCTCACATGACTCAACACATGAACTTGTGTCAACATGACGCTGTGTCCTCCTCATGTGACACAGGGAGACACACACACGATGTCCAGCTAAATAATGTCTGTCTTAGATTTCAATACGGAGGAAACAATAATAGTGTTTTTATAATGATAATTATCCATGCATGTTATCAAGAATTTAGAGGGCCTTCCTGCGGACACCATATGTTCTTTCCTTCAAACACAATGTACAAGTAAACAACAGAAAACATATACATGGATACATTTATTCTGTATGTATGATTCCATTGCAAGATTGTAAGAGTAAAAATAAATTAAAGTATATGTAAGCTTGTAACTATGTAACTTGTTTGTACTGTACATAGGATCAAGATTCTCCATACCCGTGCCATCAAACTATGACTGCATTGGTCTCCTGACACGTTAGACCACACCCTGATGACTGTCAACTACTGTGCCGTACACATTGAGGACATAGTTTCAATCAGGTAAAATCTGGCGTTTATCGAGGTCCATATCAGCACAACGTTTCCTCGACATCCACAGAGATTCGGATCATTGCCACAAGCCGAAGGAAAATGGAAGTCCATCTGCATGTAGGGTATGTTTTACAAGATCGACACCGATACAACGAACCGTTTCTCAATAGTTGTTTGAAGTAGCGCAAACTATGTGAGATAATAGTCATGACTCTGAGAAAGACAGGTATTTGCTAAAACGGAAAGAGGTACGCTCGTACATGTTGATAAGTCTGTTGACTTTGAGTAGAACACTTTAGAATGAAAAGTTATTGTGAGTCCTCCCTTGGTGACAGATATGTCACAACTGTTGTCGGGTCATCAACAAACACATCCCGTATTGGTCGAATGTATGATGAGTGGTCTTCAGCAGAAGCCCCGGATGTAGCATCCTTTTCATCTTTGACATCACTTGAAACAGGGAAGTACTCACCAAGAGTGGGTGTGGCTAGTTCGCTCTCCTCTCTTTCCCCTACATCACTGGACACTGGGATGTACTCAACAAGAGCAGGTGTGACTGGTTCGCTCTCCTCTCCGTCCCCTAAATCACTGGACACTGGGGAGTACTCAACAAGAGTGGGTGTGGCTAGTTCACTCTCCTCTCCGTCCCCTAAATCACTGGACACTGGGAAGTACTCAACAAGAGCAGGTGTGGCTACTTCGCTCTCCTCTCCGTCCCCTAAATCACTGGACACTGGGGAGTACTCAACAAGAGTGGGTGTGGCTAGTTCACTCTCCTCTCCGTCCCCTAAATCACTGGACACTGGGAAGTACTCAACAAGAGCAGGTGTGGCTAGTTCGCTCTCCTCTCCGTCCCCTACATCACTGGACACTGGGGAGTACTCAACAAGAGTGGGTGTGGCCAGTTCGCTCTCCTCCTCCGCCCCCTCCTTCTTCTCTTTCTTTTCCCTCTTCTCCTTCTCCTCCTCCACCATGTTGTTTGGGGTGTTTGTGTTTCTCCCGGGGAGCTCTGGGTCCACATCATCATCATGTATTTCATAGTACCTGTGTATCACCTGGTAGTCATGAGTAGGCACCTGTGAAGTCTCTGTGACCATCCCAGTTTCCAGTTGGTTTCTCCCGGGAAACTCCGGGTCCATGTCTTCCTCGTGTAGTTCATAGTATCTGTGTAGACCCTGGTACTCCAGTGTAGGCAGTGACACCTGTCCAGTAGCATTGACCATCACAGCTTCCAGTGGACGACGCCTGTATAAACAGTATTATTGTAAATACAAACAAGGCTTTGGGCGATATCAAACATGTATACACTATAGATAGTACCTTTTTGTATTATGTGACACGCCACATGGCAGCGTGCATTCTCGTTTGTGTTTTCTGCTGTATTACGAGAAGAAGATTTGTGCATTTACAAAGTTGGATAACCAGTGCCTTGAGTGTAAATGGTACAGCTAACCAGCTTCAGAGGCAGAGAGTGTAATGATGTCATTTGAGCATTGTGATGCAATTTCATTGTAGATAAGATATCACTTGATCCTACCAAGCGATATCTCCAGTGGAAGCCAGTTTCAGTTTATCTCATTTGCGTTGGTACGATCGCGTTGTTGTTAAGCTTCTGGTATAATTTGCTGTTCAGTGAACGTTCAATGGTTATTGTTGGACGCTATACCCTCAATGTTGAATTGTACCAACTGTTCATCCCGTAGCTATCACCTTTTAGTACATATTGAAGAATACAAATACTGACCTTTGTGCAGCAATGCGTTTGCGGTAACGCACACACTGTCTCAGCGCTATACAAAACACAGTTGCTGCAAGGATTCCAATAATGATACCAAGGATTCTGATAATGATACCATTTGTCTTCAGAGCTTTGGAAAGCATAAAATGAAAGGATAAATGTAATAAATATGTGTAAATGGACATCAGTAATATCATATACATATCTTAAATGCATGATTATCAAATTCAGTATCAATACACAGTAACAAGATGTCTGTATGTGTATAAAAGTATTTTTGTCTGGCCACATGCATTCGGAGGGGGCAACATGAAACAGGTCAAAACAGAAACAACATGCTGGTTACATATCAAATCATACATAATGCATACATAAACACAACAAAACAAAGGATCCTCAGCATGGCACCATAACATCAATTAATAAATGCCACCTGCTTTCATTTCATATGGACAGTGGATGTCATACAAGTCATCATGTTGGATACATGGCAATTAGCGTACCTGTTTTACAAGGAGCAGCTTGACGGCATTCCTCTATGGAGCAGTTGCCTGTACAAGAGGGATCACACCCGCTGATAGTGCACCCCGTGATGCATGTTCCAGTCTTCTGATGACACACCCCGTCACGACACACTGCACACGTCTGGTCACACACTTCCCCATACCAGCCCTGGCTGCATCCATGTGTACAGGATCCGGTGTTTGAGTGACAGGTGTGATTGAGGCACGTCTCAGAACACGGTGTACAGTTTTTCCCGAAATATCCAATCTTACATCCTTCAACACAAGCACCTGTCAGGTCGCACATGTGGTTCAAACAGTTAGCGTCACATCGAGATGCACACGTCGGTCCGTACCATCCATCTTCACAACCACGTGTACACTCGCCACTCTGGTTGTGAGAAGTCGGTGTACAAAAGTTGACTGTATCCTTATCACTGCAATTCAGTGGACATGTGTCAATAATTGACATACAATTATCACTGCACGGCTCAATGCAAAACATTTCGTAAAATATTGATGAACACTCCTTCAAGCATTCACTCTCACAACTTCCTGAACAGTGTGCGCAGGGATGTTCACAGTCCTGACCAGCGTATGGAGGGTGACACTCCTCACATGTTCCTGTGATCCTGTTGCAGGATTTACATCTGCTGGAGCAAGGTCGACAGCCAGAACCGTAGTAGGAGTCAACACATCCAGACACACAGGTGGAGTTCAGCTTGCAGTATTCCTCCTCACACCCACCAGGACATTCTGTACAATTATCAACGGGAGGATCACATGGTATGATGCAGTTTGTGCCTTGGAAACCAGTAACACAGCCTTCAGAACATCGCTCAATCCCCCCATCTGTGATTTCACACGTGTTATGTCGACAACCGTCGCTGCACTTGATACTGCACCGTTTGTCCCAATAGCCAGGGTAACACTTGAGACATTGCCCAGTCTTCTCGTCACACTCTGCACAGTGCTGAATATCAGTGCAGTTGGCAGCTGGAAGAAAATAACTTCTCCTTTATAGTGTATTCCAGAGCACACAATGGTGTTCAAATACATCTAAACTACAGGTTCATGTGAATGATGAACCCCAAGTCTGGCTGCCCTATATGATACCTGTGTAGATATTCCCACTGACAATACATCTCACAGCATATTCCTGCTCTGCGTGTATCACTATATTAATTGTTTGATCCAAGACCTTGTACAAGTGACATATCACATAATGCCACATACAAGGACATTATCTTAATTGAGGAAGAAATCTGCCAAGACAAGGCATCAGTACTATTAACTATTGGCTTGACGCTAACACCTGAAAACATATCCATTCCGCTTTTGTAGTGGATTCCGAAGCTCCAGCAACATCCACATGTACATTGTATATATATATATGGATCCAGCAAATGTACCAGCAAATCCCTGGCTCACAGATTAACCGTATGCCTTCATACAATCAAGGATGGACTTTGCCTTGTACTACATATGTACTATATCTGTTTTTCAGGTGAACATTTGACTTGTCTTTGCCTGTGTTTGTGACGAGTCACACCGGAGGGCCAGGATACGCTCATGTGCAAGAAAACATCCGGTTTCATCAAAGCATTATGGTGATTTCTTATTATTATGAAACTGGTTTCTTCGTTTATTTTATGTTTATAATCCGGGTTGAACCCTCTCGACCAGGACAGTGAAGGTAAAACCAATACATAGGCTGTAGAAATATCCACGTATACACCTTATAGCAACGTAATTCTGATTTACCTTGTGTTCCCATAACCATACAAGCACAGGCTAGGTACAGGAAGGGAACCATTTGGTGTCTGAAACATAAAGAAGTATATACATACACAAAATCAACATCATACTGGCGATACGGGATCGTTTGTTGGTCGTGTGTACACATGTTCTTTAACTAAATGAATCCCTTACAATCAATCAACCATCGCTCTGTCACTTCATTGGAATCTTGGTGGCATACATGTACCTTTACACATGACATATGCATGACATACCTTTACCCATGACATATGCATGACATACCTTTACCCATGACATATATGCATGACATAACTTTACACATGACATATGCATGATATACCTTTACCCATTATATATGCATGATATACCTTTACCCATGACATATACATGATATACCTTTACACATGACATATGCATGACATACCTTTACCCATGACATATGCATGACATACCTTTACCCATGACATATGCATGACATACCTTTACCCATGACATATATGCATGACATAACTTTACACGTGACATATGCATGATATACCTTTACCCATTATATATGCATGATATACCTTTACCCATGACATATATGCATGACATAACTTTACCCATGACATATATGCATGACATAACTTTACACGTGACATATTCATGACATACCTTTACACATGACATATGCATGACATACCTTTACCCATGACATATGCATGATATACCTTTACACATGACATATGCATGGCATACCTTTACACATGACAGATGCATGATATACCTTTACACATGACATATGCATGATATACGGGATCGTTTGTTGGTCGCGTGTACACATGTTCTATAACTAAATGAATCCCTTACAATCAATCAACCATCGCTCTGTCACTTCATTGGAATCTTGATGGCATACATGTACCTTTACACATGACATATTCATGACATACCTTTACACACGACATATGCATGACATACCTTTACCCATGAACTATGCATGATATACCTTTACCCATTATATATGCATGATATACCTTTGAACATGACATATGCATGATATACCTTTACACATGACAAATGCATGATATACCTTTACACATGACATATGCATGACAAACCTTTACACACGACATATGCATGATATACCTTTACACATGACATATGCATGACATACCTTGACATATGGCATATGCATGATAAACCTTGACACATGACATTTGCATGATATACCTTTACCCATGACATATGCATGACATACCTTTACACATGACATATGCATGATATACCTTTACACGTGACATATGCATGATATACGGGATCGTTTGTTGGTCGTGTGTACACATGTTCTATAACTAAATCAATCCCTTACAATCAATCAACCATCGCTCTGTCACTTCATTGGAATCTTCATGGCATACACGTACCTTTACACATTGACATATGCATGATATACCTTTACACACGACATATGCATGATATACCTTTACCCATTATGTATGCATGATATACCTTTAAACATGACATATGCATGATATACCTTTGCACATGACATATGGATGACATACCTTTACACATTGACAAATGCATGATATACCTTTACACATGACATATGCATGATATACCTTTGCACATGACATATGCATGATATACCTATACACATGACATATGCATGACATACCTTTACATATGACATAGGCATGATATACCTTGCCACATGACATATGCATGATATACCTTGACACATGACATATGCATGATATACCTTTACACATGGCATATGCATGAACTACATTACCAATAACATATATGCATGACATAGCCTTACACATGACATATGCAAGATATACCTTGACAGATGACATATGCATGATATACCCTGACACATGACATATGCATGATATACATTTACTCATGACATATGCATGATATACCTTTACACATGACATATGCATGATATACCTTTACACATGACATATGCATGATATACCTTTACACATGACATATGCATGACATACCTTGACATATGACATATGCATGATAAACCTTGACACATGACATTTGCATAATATACCTTTACCCATGACATATGCATGATATATGCATCACATACCTTTACACATGACATTTGCATAATATACCTTTACCCATGACATATGCATGATATACCTTTACACATGACACATGCATGATATACCTTTACACATGACATATGCATGAACTACATTACCAATAACATATATGTATGACATAGCCTTACACATGACATATGCAAGATATACCTTGACAGATGACATATGCATGATATACCTTGACACATGACATATGCATGATATACATTTACTCATGACATATGCATGATAAACCTTTACACATGACATATGCATGACATATATTTACACATGACATATGCATGACATACCTTTACATATGACATGTGCATGATATACCTTTACACATGACATATGCATGATATACCTTTACACATGACATATGCATGAACTACATTACCAATAACATATATGCATGACATAGCCTTACACATGACATATGCAAGATATACCTTGACAGATGACATATGCATGATATACCTTGACACATGACATATGCATGATATACATTTACTCATGACATATGCATGATATACCTTTACACATGACATATGCATGATATACCTTTACACATGACATATGCATGATAAAACTTAACAAATGACATATGCATGATATACCTTTACCATGACATATGTATTATATAGCTTTACACATGACATATGCATGACATACCTTTACATATGACATATGCATGATATACCTTGACACATGACATATGTATGATATACCTTGACACATGACATATGCATGATGTACCTTTACCATTACATATACATGACATACCTTTACACATGACATATGTATTATATAGCTTTACACATGACATATGCATGATATACCTTTACGCATGACATATGCATGATATACCTTTACACATGACACATGCATGATATACCTTTACACATGACATATGCATGAAATACATTACCAATAACATATATGCATGACATAGCCTTACACATGACATATGCAAGATATACCTTGACAGATGACATATGCATGATATACCTTGACACATGGCATATGCATGATATACATTTACACATGACATATGCATGATATACCTTTACACATGACATATGCATGACATATCTTTACACATGACAACATCATTACATACCTTCACACATGACACACGCATGACAGATCGTCACACATGAGATACACATGACAGACCGTCACACATGACACAGACATGACAGTCCTTCACACATGACACAGACATGAAATAACTTTGCACATGACACACATATGACATACCTTTTTACAAGACACACACATGACAGACCTTTACAGCACACATATGACAGACCTTTACACATGATACACGCATGACTTACCCTTACACATGACACACACATGACAGATCTTTAAACATGACACAAGCATGACAAACCTTTACACACGACAGGGACCTTTGCACATGACGCATGTATGACAGACATTTACACATAACACACACATAACATACCTTTACAAATGACATACATTTCAAAACGTGACATACACATTACATACCTTTACACATGACGTACGTATGACATATTTTTACAACGACATACCTTTACAGATGATACACACATAACAGACCTTAACGAATGACATACCTTTTAATATGTGACATACACACGACACAGACGTGATAGACCTTTACACATGACACACACATATCTTTACACATGACACAAACATACCTTTACACATGAGATACATATGACAGACCTTTACACATGATACACGTATGACAAACCTTCACACATGACACACACATGACATACCTCTACACATGACACACGCATGACATACCTCTACACATGATACATGTATGACATACCTCTACAAATGACACATACATGACATAGCTTCACACATGACACACGCATGACATACCTTTACATATGATACACATATGACATACCTTCACACGTGACACAGACATGACAGACCTTCACGCATGACACGCACATGACATACCTTTACATATGATACACATATGACATAGCTTCACACGTGACACAGACATGACAGACCTTTACACATGACACACGCATGACTTACCCTTACACATGACACACACATGACGTACCTTGGCACTAGTATCAGGGGCGAGAGCTAGCTACAATGAGAGGTACGTGATAAAAACTACCTTCTGACTGAGTTCAGAATCCCGTTAACTGTGTTTCACGTGGACCTCCAGTGTCATCGTATGAGCCATTGTTATTATATGATAGATGCAGTTCCTGCTCAGTGTGAGTCATAGGTTTCGCTCGCGACTGCCACCTTTCGGTTTCCTGGCTGCACCACAGCAGTAAAAATAAAACATGTAATGCGCGAATAGTGAGGAAGCTGGAAGCTTTCAGAGAAATTATGCTGTCCTTGTTACTTCTACTCTGGTTATTTGGAATTTGATATATTCAAATCAACGTCAACTCATAACTCATAAGCAAATAGTGTTGTGTGGTGGTTGGTGTCGGTTGGTGTTTCCCACTGAGTGACAGTTTATTCAGTTTAACTTCAGGATTGCATGTTATTGTTTTTCTTTAGTTTCGATTACTAAGAGGATAGAAATTAAAGATAGTTAAATAAATAAAGCGACAAAACTCTTCCCATTGCCAATAGAAATCTCTGCATAAACCGAATCGATTGTACGATTCCGAGCATACCATGAGCATGTGTTAATGAATCATGAGATGTACCATATGTTTCCTTGTTTGATCAGGTGAATACTTGACTTGCCTTTGCCTGTGTTTGTGATATGAACCGCCGGTAAGGCAGGATACCATCGCCTTTTCGCGAACACCAGGTCACACATAACTATTTAAAAGTGAGTCATTGACGTGATTATGAAGTAGTCGGAATCGCACAATGGATTCTGCTTTTAGCGAAGATTTCGTATGATTATGGAAAGGGTTTTGTCACCTCTGTTTATATGACTAATGTCTGTTTGCACTCTTTCTCTGATAATATATTATTCTTTCGTTTTGCCTTTTATGCTTTTGGGAATCTGTTTCGGAGGATAATCCGGAGTGGTAAATTATCTTACGATGATTTTAAATATTTCTTTCTATAAGTCAGTCGAAGGGAATTGCTTTAGTGACTATTATTGGACGATATCAGATCATCGATATACCGGAGGCTTAAGTTGAACTTCTTGGCCAAATCCCCTCGTTTTTCTTCGTTTGCACACAGAAATTGATCCGCGAATAATGTAGCACATTTATGCCCATGAAAAAACTTTGGCACATTTATGCCCATGAAAAAACTTTGAAACTCTGTTGTCACCACTTTTAGTAACAAATGCCCGTTGATCGAAGAATTCCGGATCATCCTCACGTTTCACAGGTTGTACAAATGCAAGCTAAACCTTTGTGCTTTTGAGATTCCACATGGGGTTAGTTCCACTTGTCTCAAATAGTTTCTGTTAAAATATAAAACAAATCCTTTTTTGTTGGAAATATGATTAAGATGAACCTTTGAGACAGGGATTTCGTGATATTTTTGCTGGACGCAGCAATATATCTCTTTGTGGGGATTCTTTTGGAGCTTTGGAACCGAGCACCGAGGAGTAATGGACAAGTCTTCAGATTTTAGAGTCAAGCGAAAAGTTACTAATACAGATGTGTGGTGTTGGCACATTTCTTCCTCCACATTCTGGTCTTAAAACTGTGTCACTATTTCATATATTACCTATACCAAGTTCTTTCATAACACAATTACAATATGTGGACGTCTGTGGTAGACAATAGTTTCTGTGTATATTGATAATGCTTGATTAATTACCTGCTTTACTTCATAATAATGTTCTTTAGGGCATTTTAGGTAAGTAAGCAAACATCGATTGAACTTATTTCAGATTTATAAAGCGGTTATTTTCATTGATTTATATACAATTGGATTTGTCATTTCGGGCTGTGTTAGGTACTTACGACGTAAGTTGTTTTTAGCTGGGCGTCATCAGTAAATCCCTTGTCTTTTGTTCACCTCACGGGGTCTGTCAACTGGAACGTTGGGTAGACAGGTATATCTTTGTTGATCAATGAAATTTGTAGCTTAGGTATTTGCCTGATTGGTTAGGTTGAAAATGTTTGTGTCCTCCTTATATGTCTTTGTTTTCACCATTTCACTCTCGCTTCATTCTGCACGGGAAAGGATACACTACCAGCAATTAAAAGGTTAGTATTCAAAGTTATTATATACCTGCTAGTATGATATATAAACCATTGAAAATAAATAAATACATTTATGATATACCTATCAATGATATGAGGCATTTTACATGTGAGATAGAGCCAACATGGAGACGGTCATATCACAGGGGGTGTATTAACCAGACCTGTATTACACCCCCTGCCGGGTGCATTTTGAATGGACGAGCGATATCAGCCTGGGTGGTAAAATAATTCGGGATACGTCCCTTCGTGTGTCGCCTGCACTTCTGCGCAGCAAGCTTTCCCTTGACGATGACTTCCAAACAAGGTGAACATGTTTTGCATTCATTTGCAGATAGATAGAAACATTTGACAATTTGATGTGGTATATGATAAAGAGGTTATTATATGTCTGTTGTCATATCATACCCCCTATCAACCCTCGACCCCCATATCAGCAAACCCTCGCGTTCATATGGGGTTGGTATGGGGTATGATATCAAGACTGCCTATACTAACCACCAAATATCCCATGAATAGTATTTTGACATGTTATATGAGCAAGTGTTTGTTGTGTGGAAAGTATGGGTGCCTATCGCATATTGGGTCAGAGACCAGGATATGGGTGGCTATTACAGATTTGGTGTCAAGACCAGGATAATGGGTGCCTATTACATATTTGGTGTCAAGACCAGGATATGGGTGCCTATTACATATTTGGTGTCAAGACCAGGATAATGGGTGCCTATTACATATTTGGTGTCAAGACCAGGATATGGGTGCCTATTACATATTTGGTGTCAAGACCAGGATATGGGTGCCTGTTACAGATTTGGTGTCATGTTTTGCATTCATTTGCAGATAGATAGAAACATTTGACAATTTGATGTGGTATATGATAAAGAGGTTATTATATGTCTGTTGTCATATCATACCCCATATCAACCCTCGACCCCCATATCAGCAAACCCTCGCGTTCATATGGGGTTGGTATGGGGTATGATATCAAGACTGCCTATACTAACCACCAAATATCCCATGAATAGTATTTTGACATGTTATATGAGCAAGTGTTTGTTGTGTGGAAAGTATGGGTGCCTATCGCATATTGGGTCAGAGACCAGGATATGGGTGGCTATTACAGATTTGGTGCAGACCAGGATATGGGTGCCTTTTACAGATTTGGTGTCAAGACCAGGGTATGGACGCCTATTACAGATTTGCTGTCAAGACCAGGATATGGGTGCCTATTACATATTTGCTGTCAAGACCAGGATATGGGTGCCTATTACATATTTGGTGACAAGACCAGGATATGGGTGCCTATTACAGATTTTGTGTCAAGACCAGGGTATGGACGCCTATTACATATTTGGTGTCAAGACCAGGATATGGACGCCTATTACAGATTTGCTGTCAAGACCAGGATATGGGTGCCTATTACATATTTGCTGTCAAGACCAGGATATGGACGCCTATTACATATTTGGTGACAAGACCAGGATATGGGTGCCTATTACAGATTTTGTGTCAAGACCAGGGTATGGACGCCTATTACATATTTGGTGTCAAGACCAGGATATGGACGCCTATTACAGATTTGGTGTCAAGACCAGGATATGGGTGCCTATTACATATTTGGTGTCAAGACCAGGATATGGGTGCCTGTTACAGATTTGGTGTGAAGACCAGGATATGGGTGTCTATTACAGATTTGGTGTCAAGACCATGATAATGGGTGCCTATTACATATTTGGTGTCAAGACCAGGATGTGGGTGCCTGTTACAGATTTGGTGTCAAGACCAGGATATGGGTGCCTATCACAGATTTGGTGTCAAGACCAGGATATGGATGTCTATTACAGATTTAGTGTCAAGACCAGGATATGGGTGCCTGTTACGGTTTTGGTGATAAGAGCAGGAAATGGGTGCCTATTACAGATTTGGTGTCAAGACCAGGATATGGGTGCCTGTTACGGTTTTGGTGTCGTGACCAGCTTTTGGTGAAGTGGGTAGGGTAGTGCATTTCTGATTTGATTGACTAGAAATATAATGTGTTCTGAATATATTTATAGGTATAGATGAACTCGCAGTATATATATGTTGTTATAGCCTGTCTGTACAGTAATGGCACGTAGATGTGAATGTATATCGGTATGTTGATTGATGTATCTGGGTAAGTGCTGGTGTATGAGCGTTGTGTGTTTGATATGAGTGGCTAATGTATCTTATAGTTTTATATATTGTTTTGCCATATCATATCACTTGTATACATACAGTTTTCTGCATATTCATTTATTCCTAATCCTTCACTGGCCAAGCTTGCCATGTGTATGTGCCGTAGTACAACGGTGTTAGCAGTACGGGTTTAACCGTTTTGTATGTTATATCATGTCAGATTCTTTATAGGCATTCTGTATTCCATGTAATTGTAATAATTCCTACAGTTGCATACAGCACGTTCCTTATAACTATAACATTTTATTAATTGGCTTGTATCATGATCTATTGTCCAGAGATGTAGAACAAGATGGATGTAATATAAGTGTTATTTGTTCATGAAAGTGATACGTATATTTACATGCATAGAGTAACTGTCAGAGATTGTACATGTTTTTTTTAGATTCTATTTTATATTTCCTGATTTTGTTTCATTGTTTCAGGCTGACGTTTCAGTATCACACCCCACAGCTGTTGGTGGTCATTTGAAACGCTACCTACATCGGCTAAAACCTATGGCTGTTACATAGTTTGGGTGAGCGAGTGAATATAGTTTTAGTGACAGTGAATATAGTTTGGGTGAGTGCGTAGCATGTTTTGAGTGAGTGAATAAGTTTGGGTGAGTGAATAAGTTTGGGTGAGTGACTGAATTTATTTTGAGTGACCGGGTTGCGGTGATTGAGGAAGTGCGTAAGTGTTTCAGCTCAGAATTTCAGTACAGTTTTGCAGAAAAGTATTTCGGGTATATCACAGCAAAGCGGCTTGAATGGTGAAGAATCCACTGGTTGCTGTAAAAGGACATTCGGTGCACAGCACATGAGACAAGTAGGTCATACACCATGAGTCGGTTTCCCCTCAACTAGCTGGAGCACTTGTCAGGCTGTGTGTATAGGTAGGGGGACTGTTATGAGTTCACAGTGCTTGGTTACCCAATGTTTACGTCAGTGTTATCTACTGGGTCGAGATGTGCCTTGCTACAGTGTATTGCGCAGAACGTTGGAGGGGTGGAAAAACTACACTGGCGGTGCTCTTGATCCTGACATATTGATGAAGTAAAAGAATTTAACAAGTAAGTGTATTTCCGGCTAAGAACTGTGTTCCTTTCATTGGTGATGCAAAAGGAAAACACATCGTCTTTGTGATTGTATCTAACACAGAAGTCACGTACGTTCATTAAGAAAAAAAACGACGAGTGGGTGTTGTTTATCGTACAATAACACACTGCAGGGAATGTAAACAATGAGGTTCGCAGCCCCGAGTGGTTTATTCTTCCTGCAATGTTTTTCTGTACGATAGACAGCGACCACTAGTCGTTTATTTCTGATTTGAGATATCAACATTAAGTAGAGCGTCTTTGAGGATGTTGATAAAATGTGCAAATGTCCGGCAATGTCGGAAAAGTCCATCTGATGAACTGGTGGTTAAGTTTGGTATTTCTCTCATGTTCCCACAATCCTAATGTCGATTATCTGTACCTGTTTTCCTAACACCGATTGTCATATCTCTCTCACTTTTGGATGCGGTGGTTGATCATTGCGTTTATCATCGTTGACCAGCGACATCTCAGGCGAACAACTCACGAGAGACTTCCCTCTCCAAAATAACCTCGTCCAATATACGACCTCATTACGTTGCGAGCGCATGTTCAAGTATCCAGAAATGACGTCATGATGGAACAATGTTTTATCGTGAAATATACCACGTTTTCTTCTGCGTTCTTTGCGGTTTATCGCACAGCTACCATATATATAGCAGTACAAACCTAGAGTCGCCTGTCTGTATAAAAGTATACTTAATGTGATTTAATAATCCCATGATGTCGTCATCCCGTGATTTTTATAGCTGCTGTGATCTGCTTTATTCAACATGCGTTGAACTATATATAAAAAAGCACCACACAACGATAACCTTCAGCCCGAATCAAAACTTGTGTCGCTATGTCAGGGCCATATGTGCGATCAATAGATCAGGTTTTAACCTAAACAGAGACCCGGGAAGATCCGGGGTAGAATTGGTCTTCACCAACCCACGCTTGCCGTAAGAGGCGACTAAGGGGGTCGGGTGGTCAGGCTCACTGATTTGGATGATGTATGTCATCGTATCCTAATTGCGTGGATCGATGCTCATGATGTCAATCGCTGGATTGTCTGGTCCGGGCTCGATTATTTACAGACCGCCGTCATGAAGCTGGAATATTGCTGAGTTCAGCGTTAAACAACAAACAAAGACTAGCTGACACAGACCATACCACCCGTGACATGACTGTCACTAAGGTCATGTTGACCCAATGACTTATCAGTTGTTACAAGTGCACTTCACATAACATTGTTTGATCAGGGTAGGACGGATATGGTTATTTCCGATTTAAGAGTGTCAATAAAGGAAGTCAGGCAGTATGTATCGAAAAAGAGTGGCATTTTAGTAACTTGCACTTTCCGGTGATAGTCATTGCTGCCTTCTAGTTTTTACCCGCGTCTGCTATGAACGTTTTCCAAAATCCCTGACTAGTTGAGTGACAATGGCGTCATGTGACACGTGGTCGACCTCTAACTGTGCAGTTAAACAGGTTTATGAAATATAACGTGTAGTGTATGTGGTGCAAAATGGAATGCAAACTTCATTAAAATTATTGTTTGGTTATACATTGTAACAACAAAAACTTTAAGAATCGACATAACGTTTTGGTTATAAACAAAAAAGAAAGAGTGAAATAAGTTCTTATTTAATTAGAACATTTTAACCATATTCAAGGTTTGCGTGAAGCTGAAGAAACGTGTCCGAAAAACAGACAGTTTTACTTTCTGTTCCAGTCACTTAGAAAGATGTATATACACTACGTACTTACACCATGTTAAACCACGTACTTACACCGACAACTTACACAATACTTACACCATGTACATACACCACATACTTGCACTATATACGTAAACCATGTACTTACACTGTACCTACACCATGCACTTACACCACAAACGTACACCACGTACATACATTATATACTTACACTGTGTACCTACACTATGTACTTACACATTGTGATTTTTCCATCACAAGGGATAAATATTTCAAAGTGCCATCTATAAAGGATCGTTTTAATCAAATACATGCTCATTTAATCATCGTTTCTTTTAAGGGAAATATAATTGATTAATAAATGTTGATGTAGGAAGTTATATATTTTATAAATTGGTAGTATATGATTATTAACTGAGATTGATAGTGGCTATATCCTCGAAGGGGCTTGAAGTAGCGTAAAATTATTGTCCCCCAGAGAGGCTATGCGAGCCCACATAAATCATAGAATATTTATGACTACCAGTGTTGTAATCGTAGAATATTTTGTTTGTTTTAAATCCCTGGCTAAACCCTGTTAATTGTCACCAGTGACTAAAGGGATGGTGTAAATCCTGCTGGGGTCCATGAAGGTAGCAAAGGTACTGTAAGTCCCCATGGTCCTCAGTGTGGTGACCTCACTTTAGCTGCTGGTGATATATAGCCCAATTCTATCTATTGTAATGTTATGAATAGTTTTACACATATATTTGTGATAATCTAGTTGTTTTACTGTCCTTCACCGACATGGTTTTATACAGTTTACATGTATATAATTAAAGTCAAATTTTATCTCGTCACGATATGGCTGAAATATTGCTGATGCGACATTAAATATTAACTCACTAACTCACTCACTTACACATTGTACTTGCACTATGCACTTAAAATGTACCATGTATTCACACAATATGATCACACCGTTTACTTACAACATGTACTTAAAACTGTGTACTTACAATGTGCACTGACACTGTGTACTTACATTTACTTACACTGTGTACATACACCATGTATTGACAACGTGTACTTACACTGTGTACTTACACTGTGTACTTACACTGTGTACTTACACTGTGTACTTACACTGTGTACTTACGTTTATTTACACTGTGTACTTATGTTTACTTACATTGTGTACTTACACTGTGTACTTACGTTTACTTACATTGTTTACTTACGTTTACTTACACTGTTGAGTACGTTGACTTACACTGTGTACTTACGCTTATTTACGCTGTGTACTTACACTGTGTACTTACACTGTGTACTTACACTGTGTACTTACACTGTGTACTTACACTGTGTACTTACGTTTACTTACACTGTGTACTTACGTTTACTTATACTGTGTATCTACACCATGTACTTACACCATGTACATACACCACGTACTTGCACTATGTACTTACACCATGTACTTACAACATCTACTAACACCATGTACTTACAATATGTACTTACACTGTGTACCTAAACTATGTTCTTACACTATGTACTTACACACTGTATTTACACCATGTATTTACACCATGTATTTACAATATGTACTTACACCGTGTACCTAATCTATGTACTTACACCATGTACTTACAGCAAGAACTTACACTGTGTACTTACACCATGTACTTACACCATGTACCTACACCAGGTACTTGCACTATGTACTGACACCATACTTAAACTATTTACTTACACAATGTACTTACAACGTTTACTTATACTGTGTACTTCCACCATGTACTTACAACGTTTACTTACACTGTGTACTTCCACCATGTACTTACAACGTTTACTTATACTGTGTACTTCCACCATGTACTTACAACGTTTACTTATACTGTGTACTTCCACCATGTACTTACAACGTTTACTTATACTGTGTACTTCCACCATGTACTTACAACGTTTACTTATACTGTGTACTTCCACCATGTACTTACAACGTTTACTTACACTGTGTACTTCCACCATGTACTTACAACGTTTACTTATACTGTGTACTTCCACCATGTACATACAACGTTTACTTATACTGTGTACTTCCACCATGTACTTACAACGTTTACTTATACTGTGTACTTCCACCATGTACTTACAACGTTTACTTATACTGTGTACTTCCACCATGTACTTACAACGTTTACTTACACTGTGTACTTCCACCATGTACATACAACGTTTACTTATACTGTGTACTTCCACCATGTACTTACAACGTTTACTTATACTGTGTACTTCCACCATGTACTTACAACGTTTACTTACACTGTGTACTTCCACCATGTACATACAACGTTTACTTATACTGTGTACTTCCACCATGTACTTACAACGTTTACTTACACTGTGTACTTCCACCATGTACTTACAACGTTTACTTACACTGTGTACTTCCACCATGTACACACAACGTTTACTTACACTGTGTACTTCCACCATGTACTTACAACGTTTACTTACACTGTGTACTTCCACCATGTACTTACAACGTTTACTTATACTGTGTACTTCCACAATGTACTTACAACGTTTACTTATACTGTGTACTTCCACAATGTACACACAACGTTTACTTATACTGTGTACTTCCACCATGTACATACAACGTTTACTTACACTGTGTACTTCCACCATGTACATACAACGTTTACTTATACTGTGTACTTCCACCATGTACATACAACGTTTACTTACACTGTGTACTTCCACCATGTACTTACAACGTTTACTTATACTGTGTACTTCCACAATGTACACACAACGTTTACTTATACTGTGTACTTCCACCATGTACATACAACGTTTACTTACACTGTGTACTTCCACCATGTACATACAACGTTTACTTATACTGTGTACTTCCACCATGTACATACAACGTTTACTCACACTGTGTACTTCCACCATGTACTTACAACGTTTACTTACACTGTGTACTTCCACCATGTACTTACAACGTTTACTTACACTGTGTACTTCCACCATGTACACACAACGTTTACTTACACTGTGTACTTCCACCATGTACTTACAACGTTTACTTATACTGTGTACTTCCACCATGTACACACAACGTTTACTTATACTGTGTACTTCCACCATGTACATACAACGTTTACTTACACTGTGTACTTCCACCATGTACTTACAACGTTTACTTACACTGTGTACTTCCACCATGTACATACAACGTTTACTCACACTGTGTACTTCCACCATGTACATACAACGTTTACTTATACTGTGTACTTCCACCATGTACTTACAACGTTTACTCACACTGTGTACTTCCACCATGTACTTACAACGTTTACTTATACTGTGTACTTCCACCATGTACTTACAACGTTTACTCACACTGTGTACTTCCACCATGTACTTACAACGTTTACTCACACTGTGTACTTCCACCATGTACTTACAACGTTTACTCACACTGTGTACTTCCACCATGTACTTACAACGTTTACTTACACTGTGTACTTCCACCATGTACATACAACGTTTACTTATACTGTGTACTTCCACCATGTACTTACAACGTTTACTTATACTGTGTACTTCCACCATGTACATACAACGTTTACTTACACTGTGTACTTCCACAATGTACCTACAACGTTTACTTATACTGTGTACTTCCACCATGTACTTACAACGTTTACTTACACTGTGTACTTCCACCATGTACACACAACGTTTACTTACACTGTGTACTTCCACCATGTACATACAACGTTTACTTATACTGTGTACTTCCACCATGTACTTACAACGTTTACTTACACTGTGTACTTCCACCATGTACACACAACGTTTACTTACACTGTGTACTTCCACCATGTACATACAACGTTTACTTATACTGTGTACTTCCACCATGTACTTACAACGTTTACTTATACTGTGTACTTCCACAATGTACTTACAACGTTTACTCACACTGTGTACTTCCACCATGTACTTACAACGTTTACTTACACTGTGTACTTCCACCATGTACTTACAACGTTTACTTACACTGTGTACTTCCACCATGTACTTACAACGTTTACTTACACTGTGTACTTCCACCATGTACTTACAACGTTTACTTATACTGTGTACTTACACCATGTACTTACAACGTTTACTTACACTGTGTACTTCCACCATGTACTTACAACGTTTACTTATACTGTGTACTTCCACCATGTACTTACAACGTTTACTTACACTGTGTACTTACACCATGTACCTACAACGTTTACTTACACTGTGTACTTCCACCATGTACTTACAACGTTTACTTATACTGTGTACTTCCACCATGTACTTACAACGTTTACTTACACTGTGTACTTCCACCATGTACATACAACGTTTACTTACACTGTGTACTTCCACCATGTACTTACAACGTTTACTTATACTGTGTACTTCCACCATGTACTTACAACGTTTACTTATACTGTGTACTTCCACCATGTACATACAACGTTTACTTACACTGTGTACTTCCACCATGTACTTACAACGTTTACTTATACTGTGTACTTCCACCATGTACCTACAACGTTTACTTATACTGTGTACTTCCACAATGTACCTACAACGTTTACTTACACTGTGTACTTCCACCATGTACATACAACGTTTACTTACACTGTGTACTTCCACCATGTACTTACAACGTTTACTTACACTGTGTACTTCCACCATGTACACACAACGTTTACTTACACTGTGTACTTCCACCATGTACTTACAACGTTTACTTACACTGTGTACTTCCACCATGTACTTACAACGTTTACTTATACTGTGTACTTCCACCATGTACATACAACGTTTACTCACACTGTGTACTTCCACAATGTACTTACAACGTTTACTTACACTGTGTACTTCCACCATGTACTTACAACGTTTACTTATACTGTGTACTTCCACCATGTACTTACAACGTTTACTTATACTGTGTACTTCCACCATGTACTTACAACGTTTACTTATACTGTGTACTTCCACCATGTACTTACAACGTTTACTCACACTGTGTACTTACAACATGTACTTACAACGTTTACTTACACTGTGTACTTCCACCATGTACTTACAACGTTTACTCACACTGTGTACTTCCACCATGTACTTACAACGTTTACTTACACTGTGTACTTCCACCATGTACTTACAACGTTTACTTACACTGTGTACTTCCACCATGTACATACAACGTTTACTTATACTGTGTACTTCCACCATGTACATACAACGTTTACTTATACTGTGTACTTCCACCATGTACTTACAACGTTTACTTACACTGTGTACTTCCACCATGTACATACAACGTTTACTTATACTGTGTACTTCCACCATGTACTTACAACGTTTACTTACACTGTGTACTTCCACCATGTACATACAACGTTTACTTACACTGTGTACTTCCACCATGTACTTACAACGTTTACTTACACTGTGTACTTCCACCATGTACTTACAACGTTTACTCACACTGTGTACTTCCACCATGTACTTACAACGTTTACTTACACTGTGTACTTCCACCATGTACTTACAACGTTTACTTATACTGTGTACTTCCACCATGTACTTACAACGTTTACTTATACTGTGTACTTCCACCATGTACTTACAACGTTTACTTACACTGTGTACTTCCACCATGTACATACAACGTTTACTTATACTGTGTTTATGAACAACATACTTACACCATGTACTTAAACTATAAACTCAAACTATGTACTTACAATTTGTACGTAGACATTATACTTACACTGTGTACTCACACTATTGACTTACAACATCTACTTACTGTATGTACTTACCCAATCTACATACACTGCGTGCTAACACTATCTACTTACGCGACATAATTACACTATAGCAATGTACGACCCGTGAAGATCTGGGGTAGAATAGGTCATAAGCAACCTATGCTTGCCGTAAAAGGCGACTATGCCTGTCGTAGGAGGCGACTAACGGGATCGGATGGTCAGGCTCGCCGACATGGTTGATGCATGTCATCGATCCCAATTGCGTGGATCGATGCTCATGATCACTAGATTGTCTGGTCAAGGCTCGATTATTTACAGACCGCCGCCATATAGCTGGAATATTGCTGAGTGTGGCGTTCAACAGCAAACCAACGATCTAACAAACACAATGTACATACACCACGAACATACATCACGTACTTACGCCACGTACTCATACTACATACTTACACCACGTTCTTACAAAATGTATTCACACCACGAACTCACACCACTTACATACACCACGTACTCACACCACTTACATACACCACGTACTTACACCACGTACTTACACCACGTACTTACACCACGTTCTTACACCACGCACTTACACCACGTACTAACACATCGATCTTACACCACGCACTTACACCACTTACATACACCACGTACTCACACCACTTACATACACCACGTACTTATACCACGTACTTACACCACGTACTTACACCACGTTCTTACACCACGCACTTACACCACGTACTAACACATCTTTCTTACACCACGCACTTACACCACTTACATACACCATGTACTCACACCACTTACATACACCACGTACTTATACCACGTACTTATACCACGTACTTACACCACGTACTTACACCACGTTCTTACACCACGCACTTTCACCACGTACTAAAACATCGATCTTACACCACGCACTTACACCACATACTTACACATCGATCTTACACCACATACTCATACCATGTACTTACACCATGTACTCACACCACCTAATCACACCACGTACTCACACAACCTACTCACACCACCTACTCACACCACGTACATACACCACTTACATACACCACGTACATACACCACTTACACTTTTACCGCGTACTCACACCACATACTTACACCACGTGCACACACCACGTTCTTACACTACGAACTTAAACAATGTTCTTACACAACGTACTTACACCACCTTACTTACCCCAGGTACTTACACCCCATATTTACACCACGTACATACACCACGTACTTACAGCAGGTACCTACAACACATTCTTACACTACGTACTTACACCACGTACTTACACTACATACTTACACCAAGTTCTTACACCACGTACTTACACCATGTACTCACACCACGTACATACAACACGTGCATACACCATGTACTCACACAACGTACATACACCACGTACTCACACCACGTACTTTCACCACTTGCACACACCACATACTTACACTACGTACTTACACCATGTTCTTACACCACGTACTTACACCACCTTACTTACCCCACGTACTTACACCATATACTTACACCGCGTACATACACCACGTTCTTACACCACGTACTCACACCACGTACTCACACCACGTACTCACACCACGTACTCACACCATGTACTTACACTTCTTGCTTACACTCTGTTTACACCACGTACTTACACCATGTACTGACATTTACTTTCACTATTTAGTTACACTATGTAAGTACTCCATCAACGAACACTATTTACTTACACCATATATTTACACGATGTACTGGCAGTATGTGATTACACCACGAACTTGTTCTTACACCATGTACTTACACATACTTTTACTATTTACTTACACTACGTACGTAAACGGTGTACTGACATTATGTTATTGCACCATGAACCTAATCCATGCACTTACACCAAGTACTGATCCCACATTCTTATCCTACATACTTACACCATGTACTTTCACCACGTACTTACACTGTGTTCTTAGATATTGTACTTAAACCATGCACTTGCACTGTGTACTTACATAATGTACTATGTACTTACACTGTGTACTCACGCCAAAATGTTTACAGCATATACTTACTCAATGTACTAACACTATCTACGTACACACTGTACTTACATAATGTACTTACACACTATACTTACATAATGTACTTACACAGTGTACTTACACACTGTACTTACACCATGTATTTACAGACTATCTAGAGCCTCTGGAGAAATCATGGGAATGTGTTGATATACAACTTCTCTGTAAGTTTGCATATTGACCTATAGTTGTTTCAGCTTCACAGCACACTAGTGTGACGTTTAATGTTGTTTGTGTTACAGAGTGGATTGCCTACACGCTGTGATGTTTGTATCGTTGCTGATCATTGTATGTAAGTGCACTTTTTCACAAGTGTGTAAAACAATATGTATATATATTGGCTATTCCTCTATTAATAATCTAGAAATTCCAACACTACATGACAGGCTCCAACGTGAGTTTGTATTTGGACCTTTGTTATCTACGATCTATTTCCCGGTGACCTTGGCTTAACACGACTGTTTAATGTGGAACGGAATTCCGATGTGAAGCTGTTCTTCAGCGTTTACTACTGAGGTGAAATCAACGAGCAGGATATGGTGCTGACAAAACCGGCAATCAGGTAGACATGTATCTAATTCAACTTCCGTTTTCAGTTTCTGCAGCACAGGGTGTCCCGGTGTGCGAGTGGGGCAAGTATGGACACAACTGTGACCGACTATGTTCAGATCACTGTAGACTTCATCCTGTCAGAAACCTTCGACACTGTCAGAAATATACTGGGAAGTGTTCAGAAGGGTGTGTTCGTGGTCGGCTTGGTGACCTCTGTGATCAACTTTGTAGCCCGAACTGCATCAAGACCACGTGCAATCAACCCAACGGGGGATGTACCATCGGGTGTATGGAAGGATACATTGGATATTTCTGTAACATAACAACAGGTTCACAGACACAAATAACAGGTGCACAGATACAGTTCTATAAATAGATTCTGACAGGTTATGTCCAAGAGTTGAGTCAGAACATAAGTAATTATTATAGATGTTGAGAAAATGGCATACAGCAGATTGACAGCCCTAGATTTTTACGACTATTTGGATATGATATGTAAATGTACATCACGTTTTGACAATCAAACATTATTTTTGGTTGGTTTTGAAACAATAGATAATTAGTGATTACGTGATGTCACACGTACCACGTGATAAAACATTACAATACAGCCTCCAACGTGAGTTTGTATTGTAACCTTTGTTATGTTTTAGTAGACATGTCTTAGATCTACTTCCCGAACGGTGGAATTCGGTGTACAACCGTAAATGGCCATATGATCTAGAATGTGAGAGCCCTTGGCTTAACACTGTTTTGACCGACTGTTTAATGTGGAACGAGATTCTGACGTCAAGCAGGTCTTTGGTGTTTACTCCTGAGGTGAAACTCACGAGCAGGATATGGTGCTGACAAAACCGGCAATCAGGTAGACATGTATCTCATTTAACTTCTGTTTTCAGTTTCTGCAGTACAGGGTGTCCCGGTGTGCGAGTGGGGCAAGTATGGACACAACTGTGACCGACTATGTTCAGATCACTGTAGACTTCATCCTGTCAGAAACCTTCGACACTGTCAGAAATATACTGGGAAGTGTTCAGAAGGGTGTGTTCGTGGTCGGCATGGTGACCTCTGTGATCAACTTTGTAGCCCGAACTGCAACAAGACCACGTGCAATCAACCAAACGGGGGATGTACCATCGGGTGTATGGAAGGATACAGTGGATATTTCTGTAACATAACAACAGGTACACAGACACAAACAACAGGTACGCAGATACAGTTCTATAAACATATTCTGATAGGTAACTTGTAAGGGTTGAGTCAGAACATAGGTACTTCGTATAGATGTTGAGAAGATGGCATACAGCCGATTGACAGCTCCTAGTTTCGTACGACTATTTGGATATGATATGTAAATGTACATCACGTTTTGACAATCAAACATTATTTTTGGTTGGTTTTAAAACAATAGATGATAAGTGATTACATGATGTCACATGTGAACTGCTCACTAAAATGCGCTTCATCTTCGTAAAATATTCTGTCAAATTTTCAGGTTTACCACGTTTCCCATTTGCTGCATGCATGGCGTGTTGAAGCTTGTATGTTATAACATGATCAGCTGTGTATAATTCCGCAAACTGTATTAGTTTTATTTTCTGTAACAGCTTATATCATGACCTGTGACGTCAGCAACAAGGGTTTTATTATCATCAGATCCTTGACTTTTATTTAATTTTCACAAAATTATCTTTTGTCATCTGAAAGCTAGATTTCAATCAGACAGAAAAGGGCATGATTCTGTCTGTGTTCAATCAGTACCATGACTATTTGAAAATCGTTTCTTGAATAAAGTGGAAGATTGGACTTGACGTGACCAAAATTATGTCCGACGCAATTTCAGATTGTATTTTATGTTCCTGTGAACAATTTACTTGCCTGTGCATGTGTTTGTGACAGGTGCCACCAATGCGCTAATTAAGCTCACCTTTTCGCGATTATCTAGTGCCATCAATATCTGATTGTGATTGATGAACACATGCTCATGATATAGTCAGAGTCATACAATGGACTCTGCTTGTCTTATCATTATGGAAATGTTTTTGTCTACAGAAATGCTTGGCTCACGGCAGTACAATCACACTGATCACGGCCTCCCCCTTGACTTGTCTATACGGACGTTTTGTCTTATGGTGTCTTGTTAGCTGTGTCTGTGTTGCAGTGTCCGGCAGGATGTGTGCAGGGACATCTACTTACATGTGGACACAGACGTTTTGTCTGATAGTGTTCTCACTAGCTGTGTCTGTGTTGCAGTGACCACTACCTACAGACCATGTGACTGAGGCAGGGTGTCTGCAGGGATATGTACTTACATGTATATACAGACGTTTTGTCTGATAGTGTTCTCACAAGCCGTGCCTGTGTTGCAGTGAGGATGGTGTCTTGTTAGCTGTGACTGTATTGCAGTGACCGTTACCTACAGACCATGTGACTGGGGCAGGATGTGTGCAGGGACATCTACTTACATGTGGACACAGACGTTTTGTCTGATAGTGTTCTCACTAGCTGTGTCTGTGTTGCAGTGACCACTACCTACAGACCATGTGACTGGGGCAGGGTGTGTGCAGGGATATGTACTTACATGTATATACAGACGTTTTGTCTGATAGTGTTCTCACTAGCTGTGTCTGTGTTGTAGTGTCCACTACCTACAGACCATGTGACTGGGGCAGATTTGGGGAAAACATGCGATCAAGCCTGTCCTCCAGGTTGTGCCCTGGGTTCCGACAGAAACACCAACTACTGTCAGACTGACACTGGAACGTGCACTCGGGGATGTCGGCGTGGTTGGCATGGCGACCGATGTGAGAAGCTGTGTGTCCGGAACTGCATTGCGGATACCTGTCATCAAGGAAGTGGACATTGTACCCATGGCTGCAGAGGGAGATATACGGGAGAGTTTTGTGAAGCAGAAACAGGTAAATAGGTGGAACCCAATCACGGCACCATCCTGCTGAGTCACCGCAGCTTGAGAAGCGTCAAGTAGTGTTAGGCTCTCGAGGCCAGATAATGAATAAAATAATACTTGTTCAATTGGACAAAAGAAGATTAAAATTTCAACATAGTAAAAAACAGCTTCAAATACATAATCTATTTATTCTACCTAATCCCATATTGTTTGTCTGTTACAGGTGAGGGGCACAACAGACAGACTAATTAGTCATATTGCGGTTGTGTGTTACAGGTGAGGCGCACAGTACACAGAGTATACAGTGGATGTGGATGTGGATGTTACCTGTTGCGGTCTTTATCTGTTTGACAATTTGTTGCTGGAAGAGGTGAGTTTACTTTGTGTGGGTCGAGCCTAACCTGACACTGCTTCACCATCTAGATTATGATCAACTCATTTTGTTCAGCATAACTTTGACATATTTTACATGGGTAAAATGATGTACTAGAATCTGCAAATTTTCAGTTGTACGAACAGACGAATGTTACTCTATATTTTCCATGATGACATCCTTATCAGTAATGACAATTGTATACGGTCGTTCACTGATGACAACTTTAATTCAGCACAAGACATGCTTTTATGGAAAATGTGAATATGTATTTGTGTGAGGTAGCCAAAAATGTTTGGTGTTTAAGAGGAAATGTCAAGCAGATGCCCTGTCTTTTATCAAGCAAATCTCTTTGCAGTCCACGATGTAGAAGAACGTTTGACAAAGGGTTTACGCGGCTGATAAGAAGGTAATTCTCATGAAGACCTGCTCTTTAAAGCATGTGGTAGTATCTTCTCTAAATGAATGTTGGTAGTGTTACTGAAGAGGTGGGTGAGTAAGTTTGGTTTATAGTAGTTCAGTTATATCACGGCGTGTCAGCTTGCTGTGGGAGTAAAGCCGGAAGTGCAGGTCATAGACGTTTACTACTCTTTGACACCCACGGACATGGTTATGGTGCTGACAAACCTAGACACCTAATCTGGGTGATCTTGGATTCATACGATCCTAGGTTGTAACCAATGCCCGAATGACACCACTCAATTCAGCCGAACAAATTGTAGCATCAACGACGATCGCGACTGACCTAACCGTGTCCCCTTGTTACTGATAAACACTCCATTACTTTATTTAAATATTGCAGTGTTATTTACCCCCTTTTGTACTCTTTTTCAGGAATCCCAGTGCTTGTAAGTGCCATTTTATTTTTTCAAATTTTACTTGAAGCATAATTTGACAATATACAAGTATGCATCTAGACATCTTCTCATGGAAGCAACCATCAGGTGAACTGTTTGATTTGGGAATGTGGACATTCTCGTTTAACAATTTACGACTGCCTCTGCACTATTGCCAGAACCAGCATGTGGCCGCAAGGTCAGGTTCCCTGTCTGTGAATTTTGCAAAGGGAATTCATTATGTCTCAGATTATCCAATTCACACTGCAATTCTGACTGCTACGTAATCCACCATTCACTCAAGCCATCCTCTAGGACAGTCAGGTATATTCAACACAACAAAACAACACATGGATGAAAGTATGTCAAATTACGAGACTACAAGACGCTGTTTCATCCTTCAGATAGGAATATGTTCAAAAGAACAATATACTATTTCAAGAAACCCTCATATTCCGTCACTAATTCGTTGTCAGCAACTAATCATCAATGGAAACTTATTATCGATAACCCTGTATCATAATCTTTGATGTCATACAGAAAGCAAAATATCTTCGACATTAGACTTGTTGCTTTGAATTAAACTATATGACGTAGGTGCTGCCTCACAGCCTTCATATCCCACACTGCAGACAAGGACATTTAAAAGCGTCATATGATTATGGTGTGAACATTCATATCTCAAAAAAGTGTCAACGTATTTCATCGAAGATAACAGACACAACTTGTATAAAATAGATAATACAATGTGAAATATACTTTAATTGTGGGAGCATTCGTTCTCAATGAAAATAGAAACATTTAAAAACGGTTGAACTAATGTGTAACTCACGTTCATTATAGCTGTGCTAACTGAAGGCACAAAAAAACTTTACCACTTTAAAAATGAAATTGCAAAAAATTGAAAACACAAGTTCAAAGTAATCGATGCAAAACACATCGTCCTAACACAACATAGCTCTGTGTTGAAAGTTATACACGTCTTATTTATTAAGTGCGAAAAAGTGAAAAAAAACCGTGCCGTTTGGGCAGCCGAAACAACACGTGCAGTAAGAGTTTTAACGATACGGATGGAATGTTTGACACAAGTAAAAGGCAACAACACAGAAATGCCCCACCCGACACCTGAACAACGGGTGCCAAGAACAGGTAGACCCAGGGTAATCACGCCCAATGGAGACCGGGACTTGCATACTTTACATCTCCCGAATCGCCTCCTGACAGTGACGTCATCAGCGACGAATGCCTTAGGGCATATGGTTAGTTGACACACACTGGCCAGGCGACTCAGGGCTGAATTAATTAGGGCCTCACAGAGTACAGTTATTGACAGCGCGACATTTCTGTTCAGAGCTAATGGAACACAGCGTGTTTACCGCCTGAGCGGGACACGAACTGCGTCATAATACGTTCAAGATGTCGTGCCGTATGGTGGAAGGGGGGTTATGGTGTGGTGAGGAAATTTTGGGCATAGGAGAAAACAATTGATTGAAAAAACAGGATTGAACAGAACTCCCTACAGTCAACACGCTTCCCAGACATGTCCCCCATAGAACACCTCTGGGATGTCATGGATTGTTGTGATCGACGGCAGCCACTTCCCATGACAGGCATCCCTAAGTGTCTACTGTAGCCAAAAACCGACTAGAACTGATCCAGGGCCTCAAGAGGAATGGCGACGTATCTCACATCATGTCATGAGCCACGCTATTAGTGTGATGTGTCATTGAACCTGAGCGAGTTAAGATGTGTGTGCCCTTTTTCCATTAAACTGAAAGCTTGTTGTTGCTACCACGCCTCAATTCGGGCATCTGTCATGCCAATATCGGATGCTATATGACTGTCATTTTAAATGATTATTTCATTGCGACTTTGATCTTTCCAATCCATTTTACTTCATGCAACTATCTTTTGTGGTTTTGAAACTTGAGTGATTGCAACCATGGTAAATTTTCCTTTGGCCGTCGGTTTAGATGATTCATACATTCAACACATGATTGTGAGGATGTCGGGCAGTTGTACGCTCTTTCCAACTAGTGTCTGGTTACACACAAAAATATTGTAACA